CACAAAATTCTTCGTTTTAATTTGGTTTATAAAAAAATTTGCAGTAAAGAACTTGCCATACTATCAAAATTTTCGAATGTATAAACATTGCCACATTTTAAAAACTAAAAGCACCAACCGAAAAGATGAAAAGCGTACGTACAGTGTTTTTTTTTTTTTTTTTTTTTTTTCGCGCTATGCCCACTATTTTGGCGTTTTGGGGGGTCTAAAAAGCACCATAAATAGCGCGATAAGCACTAAGTTGGCATCGTTGGTTTTACACATTTATTCGCCGTTATTTTCCCAAGGAGAACAACACAATTATATCTCTCTCGCATTAAATTGTTGCTACTCTTTACACATGAATTTACACGTGCTGTCATTCATCATTGTAGTATATTTGGGTGTGTTCAGTTGTGTCGGCATGAACACGACCATAATTCCGACCAACGGTAACTACTTCTTTTATGCTGAACTTCCAGTCATTTCTTCCCGAGAAATTGCACACACGCACACATTTTGCCACTTTGTGTTGAACAAACAAAAATAACTTTCCCCAATACCCCCACACACACAACATGCACCCAGCCAAATCTGTTTATCAGTGGTGCAAAAATAACGCCTGCCTGGAGTCACTTACACACACAGACACAAACATCCACAAGCGGTGAAAAAACTGGCAATGTTTACACTTATTTGTGGCACACCGGTCATCAAGCTCGAATTGACTGGTCATTCCTGCAGATTTTTATCAATCAAAATTTTTGTGATTTTATGGTTGCGGAATTGTGAGTAAATATGGGTAAAAGTAAATGTTTGAATTTGTTTATTTTCTGTCAGCGTTGGGAATGAGTACTCACCCAACTAACAATTTTTTCCGAGGGTTCTGATGTCCGATTTTTTGTCGAGATTTTCTGCCGTTTCTTCAGAAAAGTTTCCGAGTAATCTGCACATACTTGCTTCTTTTGTTTTGTTTGAACAAAACAAAGCAAAAGAGACAAAAAACAGCATATACAAAGAGTTAACTCTTTTTTGGGAGATTTTCTAATCCCAGCAGTCCGCTGGTCATTACAAATTAATACCCATCCAAATGTATGCTATTTTGTCAATAGGAAAAAATGAAATAACAGTGGTTAATAGCATACAACTAGCATCCGATTTAGATGAGTCGTATTACTATTACAAAATCCATATTAGAATTAAAGAACATACAAAATATAATAAAATGTGTCTGTTTAATTTAGAATTGTATTGAATATTGCTTTTTATTGACCCCTGGTTTGGTCCTTAATTATTCGTTAAAATGTACGCGCTATGGTTTATTGCAACCTTGTGCTAGCGCCTTTGACGTTTTAACGAGTAATTATTTGTCACTTGTTTTGCCGCCTCCTTTAGACATCAAGGAGTATTTCGCTGTCATTCGGACAGACAACACCCGCAATATCGTTTGCAGCACATATCGTTGTGCATAGATAGGCATATAGTTGCCAAAGGTAATATTGTTACCCAACCACCAAACTAAGAATAAATAGTTCTATATTATATTAAGAAAATCTTTGTGTTTTATTTATCTTCTTTTTATATTACCCCCCTACGGTCCACTGCTCGACGCATTCGGCATTTTACTCCCATCGGCGGAGCCCCTCTGAGCTAAACATTGGTCCAATCGAACCGGATATTCCAGCCCTCTTGGACGCTTTTGGAAACCACAACATACAGTCCATTACTCCTGCATTACAAGGTACGTATAGTGCAGTGTTTTTAAGTGAGCTCGCGTTTTTAAATTGCCGCGACAATAACAAAACATTCGGTTTTGTTTAGGTACAAAGGTCGTTTTACAACGTCACCTCTTTGCCTCTTGTTTTGTTGCCCGCCAATCGTCGGCTTCTATTTTGGATGCTTGCATTCGGCAGCATCATAATCAAAACAAAACTCCAAAAGAAAATTATTGCAAAAATCGTTTGCTAATATTCTTTTTGTTTTGGTTCGTTTCAAACAACAAAACATTCAATATTTCTTTCGTTGATACCAACAAAAACGTCGTCGTTGTTATTTCTTAGTTTGGTGTGCTTTACTAACTAAAGCAAAGATCGCAATATTATTCTTTTTGTTTGTTCTGTCCGCTTTAATATTGCATATTGTTGTTGTTACATTTATTCTCTTTTTCTCGTTGTAACAACAGTCAAATTCAGTTTCTGTTTTGTTTGTCGCAAACAACAACGACACTGTTTGAACCCCCACCGCTGCTTGCTTGCTTTGTCGTCGTTCTCTGATCAGCACTTGTTGTTTGTGCATTGTTAGATCAGTGAACGAACATAACAAACGAAGGAAGAATATTTTTGTTGATTCCTCTTTCTGTCGTGTCCGTTTAGGTTGAGTAGCTACACCACGTTGGTCGGTCACTTTTGTTAGTTACATTGTTTGTTATAGGACATCGGAAAGTTGCAACTAAAATAAAATAATTTAGTTAATTTTATTCTTTTGTTGTTGTTTTGGAAATTTAAAAATTAATACAACCTATAGACGGTAATTCTGGAAAATTAAATAAATAAAAATAAAATAGTTATTTTATTTATTTTTGAATTTTTCCCCAAATTGGTTCAGTGTTTTTTTGTGATAATTATGGCCTTCGCTCCTCTACAAAATTTCATAAGAGACTCAGACGCTCTGATAGAATTTGGTGCACAAATCGGTGCAGTAGATGATGGTATAGATATTAGTTATTTAGAGGAAAGGAAGAGAAAGTTAGAAAAACTATGGCAATCGGTAAATAAATCGTTGCGTATCTTAGAAAATTCGGAAAATATAACAAAAGAACGTCTGCATTTGGCAGAAAATAAACACAACGCTTCTTTAAACATTTATTCAAGCACTATGGCCACAATTAATAGAAAAATTATAAAAACTCGTTGTGTATTAAAAAATTTGATTAAAAACGCGGATAAAAATCAAGAGCAATCGGCTCAATCTCTTTTGGTTCCTGAATCGCAGGAAAATATTGCCGCAAGTATTTCTTCTAGTTGTGATATCGTTCACAATATGGCACTGCCCCCCATTGATATTGATATTTTTGAGGGAGATTTTTCTTCTTGGCCTTCCTTTCGGGATTTGTTTAGCGCCATTTACATAAAAAACTCTCGTTTGAGTGATGTCGAACGCATGTTCTATTTGCTTAATAAAACTGCTGGAGAAGCTCGGGAAATCGTTTCGCAGTTTCCTCTAACTAATCGTGGTTTTGCTTTCGCATGGAAAGCATTAAATGATGAATACAACAATATTCGATTATTGGTTCATCATCAACTAAAGTCGTTGCATAATCTTCCGATTCTTGAGAAAGAAACTGCAGTGGGTCTTAAGGAGATCCGACGGGGAATTAATAGTTGCATTTTTTCTATGTCGATCTATAACGTTCCCACAGATCAATGGGATCCGATACTTGTCTTTCTATGCCTGCAACGCTTGCCGGAAGAAACGACAATGCTATGGGAACAAGGTATTAAAAACAAATTGGCCCTTTCTTCGTGGAAAGATTTAGACACCTTTATTTCAGAAAGGATTAACACGCTCGTGTGTTTAGAAGGTTATAGAGAGAAATCCATTCCTTTGCAGGATTCAAATTCGCTTGATACCGTTAGAAAGTCAAAATCTAAATGTTCGTCTTCCCCTTCTATTGGAAAATCGTGTCGTCTTTGTCATGAGAAAATTCATCGCTTTCATTTTTGCTCAAAATTTAAGGAATTATCTCCCGCAAAAAGGTTTGCATTCGTCAAGCGCCACGAACATTGTATAAATTGTTTGGCAAAGGGACATAAACTAGTAAATTGTACTAGTAAAAATAGTTGTTGGAAATGTGGTCAACGTCATCACACGTTATTACATGGCGAGTCATTAAAACCGAATAGTTCGTTTCCGGTTCTGACTCCAAAGGCTTCGTCAAGCACAGCAAAATCGTTGTTGTCAGCTTCAGCCCCAGTTTTTCGTCCCTCGAAATGCATATCCTCCACATCGGTTGGAGTCGAAAATCAAAAATCTAATTTTGTTCGTTCGAAATCGCTGTACAAAATGTCTAAAAGCAACCTTATTAAGTTTATAAAAATGCATTTTTTGGAAGGTAGTTATAAAAAGAAATTGAAAGTTGCAAACAACGTTGTAGGACGACCTTCGCGTAAAATCGGTCTCACGACTGCTGCCGGTGTATATACCGACATTGGCACAGGGTCTCAATTGGAACCCCCCTCGAATATCGTTTCGGGAAACACTTAGCTCGATTGAAGTCCGAATCTGTAACTGCAGGTTCATCTGCGGCTTCAAAGTATTACATATCGTGTATTAACATAGCTTCATTGAAGTCCGAATCTGTTACTGCAGATTCAACTGCGGCTTCATATTATCGTTGTAGCGGAGATGGATCCCGAATCTGTTACTGCAGGTTCATCTGCGTTTCCATTCCCTACATTTTGTTCGAACAAAAAGCTCACACTGCACTATGCATCCCGTACCTATTATTGGAACTAAATTAGATTAAGTTTAATTGTGTTGAAACATGCTTTGATGTTTCAAGGGGGTCGGCATGTTTAATTTAGAATTGTATTGAATATTGCTTTTTATTGACCCCTGGTTTGGTCCTTAATTATTCGTTAAAATGTACGCGCTACGGTTTATTGCAACCTTGTGCTAGCGCCTTTGACGTTTTAACGAGTAATTATTTGTCACTTGTTTTGCCGCCTCCTTTAGACATCAAGGAGTATTTCGCTGTCATTCGGACAGACAACACCCGCAATATCGTTTGCAAGGCACATATCGTTGTGCATAGGAGGCATATTGTTGCCACAGGTAATATCGTTACCACCCACCAAACTAGCAATAAATAGTTCTATATATTAAGAAAAACTATTGTGTTTTATTTCTTTTTATATTTCCCCCCTACGGTCCACTGCTCGACGCATTCGGCGTTTTACTCCCATCGGCGGAGCCCCTCTGAGCTAAACAGTGTCCATCGCACTTGCATCTGAATCGGATGTCGATAGATTTCAAACCCGTCCAGCCTTCGCTTACAATGTCGGTAGATTTCGGACCGCTGGGATGTTTCTCTAGAAAAGTTTCCGAGTAAACTGCACATATTCGTTTCTTTTGTTTCATTTGAAAAAAAAAACAACAATTCTGACATCAGCAGAGAGTTAACTTTTTTCTGTTGAGATTTTTTACCGTTCTTTTCGAAAAGTTTCCGAGTACTCTGCACATGCTCGGTTGAAATTATTTGAAGAATTTTGTGTATACCACTTTTGTTTTGGTTTTTTGATCAGTTTGTCGGCAGAATTTGAACGGAGCACGTGTGCAGTGTGTTACAGTGAAAAGTTAAAATGATAATTAAAGGAAGATTTGGACCTTCAGAACCTTGTGGTAAGTAAACATTTTTCTACAATTTCTACTTTTATTAATATCTTCAATTGTTTAGCTACACCGTTTAAAAAATCAACGCCACGACAATGTGAACACGTTTTCGTGGCACGATATGCACCAAAATACTGTAAAGGACATCTATTTTATTAGGCTCCTTAAAGGTTTATACCCTTGTGTTTTAAACTTTTTGATAATGTAAATAATATATTTTTCATTTTTATTATTTAGATGCGGAACTGGAACATATTCCGGGAACTACCCATATAAATCATTTCTTCAACTCGGCTAAAGATAGGTTTAACAAACTGTAATTATATTAATTTACACTGAATTTTAATTCCCGCATTCCTTATATTTTACAAAAAGACTTAATAAAAATGTTCTATCATTAAATTGAAAAATATAAACAGAAAAATATAAAGAAAATATCTAAAAATTAGATAAAGTTTTAGTATTTCGGTTTTTCGATCGAATTTCGTATCAAACATCCGAAAAATTTCCGAATTTTGCATTAAAAACATCCTATTATTTTCCTATTTTCGAATGAATTATTCGATTTTTTTCCGATTTTCGAATAAAACTATAGAATATATAAACTCCAAAAATGCATGACATGTATTTTTATGGTGTTAGTGAAAATTTGTATGTATGCTTCACACCTACGATACTTTTTTTGATTTTTCTCGTTCATGATGCTCGATTTTGACGTGTGTGGAGGGATCATGCATATTCTTATTTGCGACGTTTTTATACCCTCCAACACAGTATGGAGGGTATATAAAGTTTGCTTCCGAACGAAATGAAGTAGGTGCATAAAATTTTACTCAAATGTATATTATGTCTGCAGGACTTTTGGTACTGAAAATGGGCCATGTACGTCCACTTTTGGGTATAGCCCCCATATAATAGTACCTCCCTATTTTCAGTATTTTGGTGATTTGAGCCACATTGCTCACCGGAAATAGATACTAGAGCTTATGACAGAAAATTGTCCGCGCAGGTCCACGTCTTCTAGTTTCAAATTTGGTATTTTAAGTTCTTAATGGATATTACAGCCTGTGACAGAAAATTGTCTGTGTCACGTTTTTTCTCTGTGACAGAAAGGTGTCTGTGCAGGTCCACGTTTTGTTATACCCCCATGGTACCTCCCTATATTCAGTATTTTATAATTTTAGCTACATTATTCACCGATTTTTTTTTAAGTTTCGCAGTTGAATATTGTAATGGCTTATGACAAAAGTTGCCTATGCAGGTCCACGTGGTCGTATAGACCCTAATTAACGGCTACATTCTGTATTTTTGAGATTTTAACAGATTTGTTACGGATTGCCAAACTCGTTCCAAATGGTGGAGGGTATATCAAACTTACAGCTCTTTTACTGAGAAAAAGTTTTTGAGGTGTTGGAAGTTTACCGGTTTTGCCAGCATTTGGGATGTTAAATTTGTAAAAAATGTATCTTATGTTATCGACATTGTCTGCACAGCACGAAAGCAAAATAAATGCATGAACCTTGCTCGGTGAAAGCTTCATGCACACGCACACGATTTAGATATCATGCATTTTGCCCGTCGACGGGGCACTTTTATTTATAAACTAAAAGCCTCGCTGGGTTTTTACATTGGTACTGCGGTACACTCCAAAGTTGCATAAATTTCTTCAAAGTAGTTTTTATACCCTCCACCATACTATGGAGGGTATATTAACTTTGTCATTCCGTTTGTAACTCCTCGAAATACTCATGTCAGACCCAACAAAATATGTATATATTCTTGATCAGCGTAAAATTCTAAGTCGATTTAGCGATGTCCGTCTGTCTGTCTGTCCGTTTGCCCGCCTGTCCACGTCTTCATATAGCCCCCATATAACGGTACCTCCCGATATTCGGTATTTTGATGATGTTAGCGGCATTATTCACCGGAATTGTTTCAAATTTGATATTTGAAGTTCCAAAGGGATATTACAGCCCATGACAGAAAATTTTCTATGCAGGTCACGTCTTCGTATAGCCCCCACATAACGGTACCTCCTAATATTCGGTATTTTGATGATTTTATCGTCATTGTTCACTGGAATTGTTTCAAATTACGTTTTTAGAATTCGTAATGGGATCTACAGTCTGTGACAGAAAATTGTCTATGCAGGTCCAGGTCTTCGTTTAGGCCCCAAATATCAGTACCTCCCTAAGTTCGGTATTTTGACGTGTACAATACCCACCGAAATTGTTTGAGATGTCGTATTTGAACTTCGTAATGGATGCTACAATCTATTACAGAAAATTGTCTATGCTGGTCTAGGTCTTCGTATAGGCTCCGTATGTCAGTACCTCCCTATATTTGGTATTTTGACGATTTTAGGTACAATACTCACCGAAATTGTTTGAGATGTCGTATTTGAAGATCGTAATCGATGCTACAGCCTATGACAGAAAATTGTCTTTGCAGGTCCAGGTCTTCGTATAGCTCCGATATATATGGTATTTTAATGATATTAGCTACATTATTCACCGTTTATTTCAAGTTTCGAATTTGAATACGGTAACGGCTTATGACAAACAATGCCCATGTAGACGGCTTTATTCTTATAAACCCCATAATTTTTAACAGATTATATTTTGTGAAAATTTTCAAATTCGTTCCAAATGGTGGAGGGTATTCAAAGTTCGGCGCGGCCGAACTTACTGCTTTTTAAATTGTTTTACATTTGCTTAACATTTGTTTGATCATGATAATACATTGGAAGATGCATTATTATTCTTGCAGATGGTCACTATTGTGAATACCCACTTATTTTCAAACATCAATTTTCGGTTATTGATACATCATTTTTTGGTTATTGATACATCATGAGCGGCATTTATATCCTCCCAAGGGTGTATCTAAACACACAAAAAAATCGAGAAATTTTGCATATTTTCTATACATGCCGTTATATGGTTGCCATACCAAAATTTTTTAATTTTGATTAAAAAATACTTTTCAAAGCATCAAAACATTAAAAACCACAACGTACTTTTAAATTGAGGCTATGCCTAATGGGGAACCAACAGTAAACAGTTATTATTATTGCCGGTATTGATTTCACAATACTGACAACTTTAAATGTCAAATTACAGTTCATTCGGTAGAAATTGTAACAAAAACATGCAAAAGGACGAATGTTTACTGGTATTATTATACCTAAACAAAATGACTTATTCGAACTTCCTAGGAATCTTCTTATTCTATATATATAAAAATCAATTGTTGTTCGTTGGTAATGGAATCAGTTGAGAACGGCTGGACCGATTTGCATTGTTTTTTGGCACAAACGTTCGTCATACTCCGAGTTAGGTTTTTAAAAAATAAAATATTGACCACGCCTACTTTTACGCCAACTATTTCGATTTATCTAAAATACTAATATTTGCCAAAATAATGAAGATACCGGTTTGAAAATTATTACCCGTGATACCCGGGCAGAGGAACTGACAACGACTACTTTTTAATCTATATATATGTATTAAAATCATTTGTTGTTCGTTGGTAATCGAATCAGCTAGGAACGGCTGGACAGATTTGAATACTTTTTTTAAAATGTTCGTCCTACCGCGAGTTTGGTTTTTATGACCACGCCTACTTTTACGCCCATTTTTCGATTTACCTAAAATCCTAATATTTGCCAAAATAATGAAGATATTTGTTCCATAGTTAGTATATGACGTACTCTTGACTCTCCCTCCAACCCTATGCATCTGTTTGGGGTCAGAGGAACTGGCCACACATACTTCTTTAAATTTATATGTATACAATTTAAAAAAAAAAAAAATAGTAACACATCAGTTGAGAACTGCTTGGCCGAATTGACTCAAATGTCCTTTTGGTTATTTGTAATTGTAGTGGAAACGTTTTCATGAATGAAAATTTTGAAAAAAGCCTCTAGAAAAATCGTGTTTCAGAATGCCTTTTGGAATTGAAAATTCTTATTGAAAAAAAAAAAAAAACGCGAAATTTTGCATATATTCTATACAATTTTGATTAAAAACTACTTCTCAAAGCATCAAAACATTTAAAATCTCAACGTACTTTTATACCTAAACGAAACGTATATATTCTAACTTCCTAAGAATCTATATATATAAAAGAAAGTTGTGTTAGTTACTACGCTTATAACTTAAGAACCGCTGGACTGATTTTAACGATTCATACAAATTCGGAATTGTCTCCTGTCCGAAAAGGATAATATCCAAAAAAATGTGATATATTAACATTTTCATTTTGACTTTTCAAATGTGCAATAGCAATGTTTTATTTTGCATGACTTTTTTCCATTTTAACTTACTTTTTCCTAATGTACATTTGTTGTATATATATATATATATATATATATATATATATATATATATATATATATATATATATGTATATATATATATATATATATATATATATATATATATATATATATATATATATATACATACTAGCTGGCCCGGTCCGCGTTGCCGGCCCGTAGTTTTTGTTTATTATGCATATTTTTAAAAGCATAATTATTCACAGATATGACTGATGTAAGTGTTTGCGTACTGGTCGATTAAAAGTGTTTTAAAATATCTGTACCCATTTATAAGCCGTGGACTTCAATATTTAAACCGTGTGCTTCAAATGTGTGGATGTGCTATACAAATCTATTAAAAAGTATATATGAATGTTATCCACATGTAAGGGATCAAATTAATTTTTAGTATGGTAAAAATCGTAGCAAAATTTTACAGTCAAATGAGAAGCAATTTGGAATTTACTGTATTTTGTACACCTCATAATTGAGGGCTGAATGATTTAAGAATAGGCAAAGTTAATTACTTTTTTAAACCCATTAGCACCTTAGATTGTGCATTAGAGTCCTCATAAGTCCCCTAACCATGTCGGTCTGTTTGTCCGCCAAAAGGTGGACTTGAGGGGATACTATTGCATGGAGAAATTTCTAAAATTTGTGAATATGTTGACATTTTTGTGTAAGATTTTCACCCCCGAATACACATTTTTAGCCAAATCCTTTGAAATATGGTAAAATCAGAAGGTACCTTTATATGGGCACTACTCCGAAACATCGACCTACTTTGAAAACTTTCTTCTACCCCTTATAATCCAATATGGCAAATAGAGGCCAACTCAAAATTATAGGTATTTCACACCCATTACCGTAAGATGGGAATTTTTTTTATTTTCCATTTAAATTGTAAATTGGAGACCCCATAAAGTCCATATTTTTCATCATAGTATAATTCAATGTCGATTCGACAAATATTCGGTCCCGTACTACTTTCTTATATTTGTAATTTGTTCATGTTCCCACAATTTATTTCATATAGATGTACATTCCAAATCTACGTTCCCAACCAATATTCTCTTGGGAGTTACAAATTCAATAGAATACAAAATTTTCCTTTCTGACCACACATTAGGTGTGAAAGTGGACTTGGGGATACTCCAATGTGGAGACTTTACTTAAATAATTCCTATGTGGCAATTATCTGTATGATGGTTCCCTTCCCCATGGTAGCATAACAAAATTTTTTAGCCAAATCAATTGATGAATGTGTTCAAGACCAATATGGGCCCTACTCTGAAAATTTCAAATTTTATGCGAAGAGGTTCTGTACCCCCTTAGACACAAAGATGCCTAATAAGGGCCAAAAAATAAAAAGGGACTAAGACCCCAAAAATAGCTTGAACCATACGATGGTTATATAAATATAAAATCGGGTTGTACCCTTATCCGTGAGTTATGATCTATATCATGACCTGCAAAAGCGATTTAAGGTATCTTGAATGTTTGGGAAGAATTTCTGGGAGGATAGAAATCCTTTTCTTAATAAAAGTCCCATTCGCATCTACTATTTTGCACCTT